ATGTATAAATAGAAAGGTATCCAGTGTTCACAGATTAGAATCAATATTACCAAAATGTCCACACTATCCAAAGTGATCTACAGATTCAATGCAATTACTATCAAAACCCCAATGTCATTCTTTACAGGAATAGAAAAAACAATTCTAAAATTCACATGAAATCACAAGAGACCATGAACAGTCAAAGAAATCCTGAATAAGAAGAACAAAGCTGTAGGCATCACACTTTTGGAGTTCAAATTATATTACATATCTACAGTAATCAAAACAGTATGGTGGTAAATAAAAACAGATGTATAGACCAATGAAACAGAATAGAGAGCCCAGAAATAAATGCACACACTTATAATCAATCCATCTTCAACAAGGGTACCACGAACACACAATGGGAAAAAGAAAGTCTCTTCAACAAATGATGCTGGGAAAACTAGATAGCCACACACAAAAAAATGAAATTGGAGCTTTATCCCATACCACATACAATCAATTCCAAATGGATTGAGGATTTAAAAGTAAGACTAGGAGCCCTAAAACTGTTAGAAGAATGCAGGAGAAAAGCGTTCGTTGCCCAAAAGACATTAGTTTTGGTAATGATTCTTTGGATATAATACTAAAAGCACAGGCATCCAAGAAAAAATAGACAAATGGGATTGCATCAAATTGAAAGGTTTCTGCACAACAAAGGAAACAATTAACAAAATAAAAGGAATATGGATTGGGAGAAAATATTTGCAAGCCATACATCTGATAAGTGGTTAATATGCAAAATATATAAGGAACTCACACAACTCCATAGCAAGAAAAAAAATCCAATTTAAAAATGGGCAAATCTGAATAGACATTTCTCCAAATAAGACATACAATTATACAAATGGCCAACAGATAGGAAAAGGTGCTCAATGTCATTTATCACCAAGGAAATGCACATCAAAACCACAGTGAGATATCACCTCACATCTATTAAGGTGGCTATTATCATAAAGAAAAAGGATAAGTATTGGCAATGATGAGAACATTGGGACAAAGGGAACCCTTGTGCATTGTTGGTGGGAATGTAAATTGCTACAACTATAGAAAGCAGTATGGAGTTTCCTCAAAAAGTTAAAAATAGAACAACCTTAGGATCCAGGAATCCCACTTCTATGTATATATCCAACAGAAATGAAATCAGTATCTTGAGGAGATATCTGCACTTCATGTTCACAATAGCCAGGGCATGTGATCAACCTAAGCGTCCATCAATGGGTAAATGAGTAAAGAAATTGTGGTATACATAAACAATTGAATCCTATCCAGCCTTTGAAAAGAAGGAAATCCTGACGTTTGTGACAATATGGATGAATCTGAAGGATGTTATGCTGAGTAAACCAGACAGTAAAAGACAAATACCACATGATCTCACTTTTATGTGGAATCTAAAACAGTCAAACTCATAGAAACAGAGAGTGGAATGGTGGTTGCCAGGGGCTGGTGGCAGAAGGGAAAAATGAGGAAACGATGATAGGAGGTCTGAAGTTTCAGTTATGAAAGATGAATAAGTTCTAGATACTTTACGTAGAGCAATGTGAATATACTTAACAATACAGTGCTGCACACTTGAAATTTGCTAAGAGTAGATCTTAAGCGTTCTCACCACACACATATAAAAAAAGAATTAAAGATTAGGAAAAGTTAAAAAACAAGATATTTTGTTAAAAAGCTAGTTTATAATCCTAGTTATTGTATCATTATTACATACCCATAACGATATAGTCATTTGGTCCAAATGACTTTCTTTTGCCTTTGCTTAACAAGAAAGGCTTTTCAGGGGGAAAAGCCGTCCGGAGCTGTAGTGCGTGCGTGCGTACCCGGCTGCTTTTGTGGAGGTTGCCCGCAGCTTAGTATGGGGTTGCCGGAGCTATGCGAGGAAGTGTTCGATACCGTCGACCTTTACCGGGTGCTAGGCGTGCGGCGCGAGGCGTCCGACGGCGAGGTCCGACGGGACTACCACAAAGTGTCCTTGCAGGTGCACCCTGACCGGGTGGGCGAGGGCAACAAGGAGGACGCCACCTGCCGCTTCCAGATCCTGGGGAAAGTCTATTCCGTTTTAAGTGACAAAGAACAGAGAGCAGTGTACGATGAACAGGGAACAGTGGACGAGGAATCTGCTATGCTTACTCAAGACCGGGATTGGGAGGCATACTGGAGATTACTCTTTAAAAAGATATCTCTAGAGGACATTCAAGCCTTTGAAAAGACATACAAAGGTTCTGAAGAAGAGCTGGCTGATATTAAACAGGCACATCTGGATTTCAAGGGTGACATGGATCAGATCATGGAGTCTGTGCTTTGCGTGCAGTACACAGAGGAACCCAGGATAAGGAATATTATTCAGCAAGCTATTGACACCGGAGAGGTCCCATCCTATAATGCCTTTGTCAGAGAATCGAAACAAAAGATAAATGCAAGGAAAAGGAGGGCTCAGAAAGAGGCCAGAGAAGCAGAAATGAGCAGGAAGGAGTTGGGGCTTGACGAAGGAGTAGATAACTTGAAAGCAGTCATTCAGAACAGACAAAAGGATCGGCAAAAGGAAATGGACAATTTTCTGGCTCAGATGGAAGCAAAGTACTGCAAACCTTCCAAAGGAGGAGGGAAAAAAACAGCTCTCAAGAAAGAAAAGAAATAATGGAATTTTTCTCTTCAAAGGACCTTAAGTGTTAATTGGTGCCATTGTAGGCAAGGTGTGGGCAAAAGTCAACCCAACCCTTAGAGGAGTTGTCTTTCCAGCCTAAATTATTCAGATTGACTACACCAA